TTTGCATACGGTTAAAACTTGAATTTCTTTTGCTGTTTTCAAACAAGTATTATTTGTAATCTAGTGCGCGGGATTGGCTAGAATTCCCTAGTGCCCGATTCTACTTAATGCCAATTGTATCCTATTAGCGTACCACCACCAGGTCATGTAGCGAAAAATTTGAACCAAGGCGCCCCTCTTTATGTACTTCCTCGCTGCCATTGCTCCTTTTAAAGGGTGTGGAGGCCCCGATACCACACCCGGCCATCCTGCGCTAACGTTCATTCGCTCTACACAGTCCTTCCGATGATTCGAGTCAGTAGAGGTAAAGAAACGCACGTGATTGGGACAGGAGCGTATTCACAACTTTCAGATACTGTACCACTAAACCCAAGAAGTCAAAGCAAGACCTAACAATCACCCATGTAAATCCGCTCCAACCAATAGCTGGGGAGTCCTTTGCATCCATCATGCGGTTAGCACGCGAATGTTTTGTTTTGTATAGTTGTGAACTATAGAATATTCTAAGCGCACTTCAATTCACTCAGTGAAATCCAACAGCCGAATATCTCTTCTGCGAGACTCAACTTCGCTTCGTCGTCGCCATCCACCTCGTGTAATCGTAGATGCCTTCATCCTGGACGAGTTTCCAATTATAGGAGTTGAGGAAAAAATTTTGATGGGCTAAGCAGGAATCGAACCCTCGACCCTTTGGCCGACAAGTCGGGACTCTATGCCCATAGCCAAAGTGTCCTCTCTTAATTTCTTCCCTGTTATTACTCCTTTTATAGTTACGGAAATCCCAATCCCACATTTTTGTTATGAGGTTCTATGTTATCCCTAACAGCGGTTATCTATATACCCGGATTAGTACACTCCAGATACTTACAATGAGTTTCAAGGAAATCGAAGAATTCGTGCAGTTTGTGCTAAGTTTTCATAGTTAATAAATACCTTTCCTATTCGCGCTTGGTGATGGTATTATGGCTGTTGGTTATGGAAGGAGGAAACAAATAGAGAGAGAATAAATGGAAAAAGAAAGAAAGAAAAGATACGCTTCGTCCTGGGCCTTCTAGGGGACTTGTCAGTTAGGCTATTTAGAAGACCCGTGCCATGGTGGACGGTTAGACTCAGGTTAGAAGTTGTATATACAAAGGTGTCCTACGATAAGTGCCGTTTGATATAACTACTAAACGGTAGGTGATAGAACAAAAATGTAAGGAAACTTATCATCATTTTTTATATAAAATGTCACTGTGAAAAACAAAATTTTTACCTTCAATTTTTCAAGGTCATGTAATGTTTTCTAAATGGAGTGCTATATTTTTGTTTTGGTATTACGCAAGTACAGAAGAGTTCAGCATGTGTCTTTGAAATGACCTTGAGACAATCCAAAGTCGCAAGGGCGAAAATGCTTTAAAACGGACGAAAATCGATATTAGTAGGAGTCTCGGCGAGGACTAGCGAGAGAGGTTAATGTTAGTTCATCCCTCTGGTGGCGGAACGTGAAAGGTGCCGCAGCAACATCAAGCTTTTGAATAAGATTAAAGTGACAATTGTATACTATTGATGGGTCGACTTTTAGCCAAAGTTTTCAATACTGGTAGATGAGCGAGAAATAAATCGAGGCCGGCTCTGAAAGCGTTTCGACATGGTGGTGGACTAATGCCTTGGAATCTTTGCATCGACTGCTTAACTTTCTCAAAGCCAATTCGTAGTTGGGGTCAGAAATACTGAGAGATTATATGACGCGCACTGGTTTGGCCTTCAACGTGGAATTCAGATAGTGAAATGTTTGGATATTATATAGCGATTCATTATTGCAAATTATGGACTCGAACATGTTACGAAACTTTACCCGGCTATTGTAGTCGCGGTTGAAGCGGGGTAAAGAAATAGCAGATAATGTGGGTCTCGCTGACAAATCCATCGCGGCCAGAGAGGATGGAAAGCAAAGTTGGGTACAATATTATTTCAAACAATAAATAATGAATAATTATTTTATTTTAAATTGTGCGTCTAGTTATGAAAATAAAATAGCTTATTTATTGAAAATTGTTGCCTGCATCAAATGTTTATTTATTTTTAAAATAGTACTAATATTTTCATTCATTAAGAAACATTTGAATTACATATTTGAAATACAAGGTTTGTTGGAGTTATTCAAATAAAAATATTTTACTTGTCGAAATTTCGCTTTCTATTTAAAATATCATTTTACAATATCAGCTCTGGTAAAAAGGACGTAGTCGCGGTTCCCGATTGTAGAAGTCGTGAATTATTAATGTGATCGTTTACTTATCTAGCTGCAAGAAAATATTAAAATATTAGCTGCAAGTTAATACGAAAAAACGTGTTTTAAAAATGGTAGAGAAGAATCCAGAAACGAGCATTCGAAGAGTTTCGACGGCTGTATGTATCAGTGCTCCATTGATTTGTCGAACTTTTCATGAACAGTTAACTGTATCCTTGCCATCTTCAATGCGTGTAAACCCTAAACCCTTCCTACCATTCAAAAAGACTGGTATTTGGTCAATAGTTGCTGATAAAATGTACTGCAAACTCGAACTTCCTTCTTACCACACTCTTTACTGACCAGGCTGGATTTACCAGAAGCGGGATTGCAAATTTTCGTAACAGCCATGAGTGATCAGATGAAAATTCTCACACAGTACTTTAGGGTTATTCCCTATAATGGGAATTTTAGAAGATCGTCTTCTAGGACCAGTTTTTCTACCGAACAGAATGACAGGTGTCGTTTTAATTAATGGTTTACTCGAAGTCTTGAATGATGTCATCGGGAGAAATTGTGCATATGGTTTAACCCTTTCGCGACTAGCGCCGGTTATATCCGGCATCCACTAAATGCTTCACACTGGCTAGCGCCGGTTATATCCGGCATCCACTAAGCGTGTCGCATTGGCTCGCGTCTCAAAAACTCAAAGTGAAGATTTATTTTATAATACAGAACAACTTTAACAACATACACCCTTAAGTCCTCTGCTGTTCCAACGAAATCCTCTAAGATTTGAAAAAACGCGAGACACTCTTAATGCGTATGGTGTGCACTAATGGCACGACGACCCGTTCGTTAGTGGCGTACTGATGGCTAGTTCCGCCGTCGCGAAAGGGTTAAGGCGCCATATTTTTCGATTAATAAGAGACTGTTAAAAGTTGGTTAAAGACTGACTGCCGTCTTCAAATTTCCTTCAGTTTCTTAGTTTTCTCCCACCGAAACACTTATTATTTCAAAAAGAGGATAATTTTTTTTACCAATCGGAAGTCGGTGTACGAAACTGAAGGTAGCCTTCTCGAATTCGTAGGTCTGCCTATTTATGTCGCACATGGCGGTGAACTCAGATATTTCCAAGTACTTGAAACAAAGGTAATTCGCGAAGACCAACTCTAGAATAGGGGGAGCTCGTTAAGAACTTCGGTTGAGTGCTTGTCAAAGTTTGGATTCGTGATACCTCGATCGCTATAGAGAAACATAAAATTATACGGTTAAAGCAAGAACCTTTTTACCGATTGAATGTGAATAAACGGAACTGGCAGATCGCTTAAAAAGATCAAACTAATAAAAACAAACGAGTTATATCTGCGTTAACGAAGAACTTACAATTAGATTGGTACACAGAATGTCCCGCCAAAACCTGAATACCTAAATATTTCCTGTCTTTCTACTGATGCGAGAGAACATTTACAACGTAATTTGAATGGTTTGGGAGTAGGAATACGATGCAAGAGAAATTTTCTTTTCAATGTCACCAGTATTCTTTTCAGATAAACATTTTTGTTTTTAGTTGTACTTATTGCGTTGAATCATGTCTGAGTTACGACCTTAGAGTGACGTTAAACACCAAAAGTGTGAACAAATTCTAGAGCAGTGTTAGAATGTATTATGTATTAACTACTATTAACTACTTGTCTGTATTTGCATGTTGGTAACAACCAGCAGTTCATGCATTCGCCTCTTCCAATGATAATTTAATCTTGAAAATAAGATGACCTAAAGTTTTTATTGTTCACGTATTTGTTAAAACCATTTAAATGAAGAACAATTTGTAAACATCATTTAACATAGTAAGATCACGCATTTATTTACTTTTTTACTTTCAAGGTGTCTCCGGATGGTAATATGACGAGCTCCACGATAACGTTAAAACCGACGTTACTCGATCACGACAAGGTAATTACTTGTCGAGCGGAGAATCCCAAAGTTCAACGAGCCTTTATAGAAAACACATGGAAATTAAACGTTTTTTGTAAGTAAAGAATTTTTATATCTACCTTATATAGGGTAGTTTCTACGAATCTAAAATTTTTACAAAAATTCCCTTGCTAATTTACACTATTTATTGCATCGTATTTGCGCAAATAAGCAGGACTCGAGTGACGAAGTGTATGAGTAACGCACGTGCGTGGTATGTGGGTAAAAATGTGTTAGAATAATAACGGAGTACCCTAAGTTTACGATACTGTCGACACATCTGCTATTTTTGAGGACACGGATATTTTAGTTTCTTAGTATGTGTCGGCGTCGCGTTCTTCTGTGATGTTCAAAAGAACTCGCGGTCGCGACTGTTACCCGCCAAATTAATCCTGGATAACTAATTGGATATCTATTCTACTCGAACGTAGTAGAACGAGGTTGAGCGCAAATGACGAAGTCTCGATTTCGTTTGACTTTAATGATCGGCTCTGATCTGTCTCCTCGAACGGCGGGAGATGTATGTGTTGTTCGCACGAGAGAATTTTTGCGAATCCTCCTCGATCGGCGATTTTTTGTGGAGTCCGAGGTGACTCCCTCGCCAAGTGCAAGAAGACACGCTGATTGGTTTTTCACGAAAGTACAAATTACCAATCAACGTGCCCCTTGAGTGTCACCCACCCTTCCATTGCGCCCTTAGCGCGCTTTTCCTTGGAAGGAGTGGAGCCCTACCTGCGGGTGAGGACGCGGAAAAGTCGAAATTCTAAAGGCATTGTTCTGTAAGAAAGTACTTATTTTTTCGCGGAGCTACGAAGCGTCTTTGTTCTCAAAAATAACCTTCTTGTGCGAGCGTGCCATAAACCCGGTCAACGAAGACCCCACGCGTTCCGTACCTGCGCGACGGAACAGTATGCCATTCATTTTACAATCAGGAGAAACGACGGAAATTCAATTGGTTTTTTAAACGCTTGGCCTCTACCTGCTCAGTAGTAGCAAATAATGCATCGTAATCTTATTCCTCGGACCAAGGACTGACGAGTATAGTAAGTACGGACCACGATATATTCTTTGCATTGATGCGGTAATGACACTAATTTTATATAAAAATATTTCAGTAATCAACGTCGCCAAAGATCCAGTAAAGCACGGAGTAGTTTCAAAAGTGTCAAAAGTGAAGTGAGAAAATAACAATTTGGAAGTTTTCCTTTTTTTAATTTGATTATAATCGATGCAGTTGTTCGAACTTCAGTTTATTTTACATATTTCTTACATGAAATGTAATGGATCGTAATACATAGTTAAGTGACGGTGAAATACAAACAGTTAAATAATTGAAGCAAGAAAATTATTCCATTTTAAGAAATCGATGAAAATGTGGGAAAAGGAAAATTTCCAATCTAAAATAACATTTTGTGTAACAACTTCAAATTCTACTGCAGCAACAGGAACAATTACTGTTGAAGCTGGTAGTAACCCTTTGCGGTCGTATTTAGCTCAGACATGGTTGCTGAGCAGGTCGGAATTAATTTTCATTGAACGAACACTAATAATATAATGCAAGATTGTAAATGCAAAATTTATTCTTTTTTTAACTTTACGTATGTTTAACACAATAATATGTTTCATTTTATATAAAAATTATATTTTATATTTCTCCATCGTATGATATAAGTGCTTTTGGTGGCTGAGAGCAGACACGCGACCACAAAGGGTTAATAGCGTTGCGTACAGTGTACTTACATCATACGTATTTACGGTATGACCAGCACAAAAGACGGAAATTATCGATCTGCCATAGAGATTGATGAGTTAACGTATGCTCGTATATTGCATCAAGTCTGTATATATGCATGTGTATTCAATAAAGTGTTTGTGAAATGTAAAATAATGTCGCGATACTTGTGTGATCCATATGCAGCAACACCAATATGCGGAACGTATAATGACTTATTCAGAGGTACAAGCAACTACAAAGGAAGAAGTTATTTATGAAACCGTGGTTAACTGTGAAGCATAAAGAGGCTCACTTGCGGTTTTGGCAAGATCATATTCATTAGAGACAAAATGACAGAAGGTTATCTTTATTGACGAGGAACAGATTAATTCAGAACTACTATTTCCGTGATTTACAAACGGAACAATTGTTTTTCAGTGATTTGTGTGAGTTGTGTGCATAGCGTATGTTGTGTTTGTTATATTACAATACACAATGGGATACACGTTTGACGAACTTTCGTGGTGCCGCAAAATCGGTAATGTCGTTTGCAGTGCCTTCTTCTCTACTTCTTGTACAAGGTAAACTGCCGGCATGTGTCGTTGGTTTTGAGAAGCACTATACCCCCTGGTGTCTTAATGTGCCCTACATTCGTTAGTATAGGGCAAGACCGATCTCGAGGTTGCTCTATGTGAAATGGTCGCACAAACCGGAGCACGAAAAATAGAGCGTTTTTATTTTATTCCACAAAGACGGCAATTTCAGATGGTAGAACCTAA